GATAGGTGCTTTGCTTTTAGTACAATTAGTACAATTAGGGTTGAACGTTATTATTCTAGTTAATACTAAATACGTGCTGGGATATACAAGCTATTGACTTCCTGCATGTGATGCTGAATATCTTTATAAATGCCGATGGTGTTGTTCAATTGACCTGCCTATAACACATCATGTTGATATTTCTTATGTTGTTGTATACATTGATGAAAATTACAACTAAATCTAACGTTTCAATTGGCTATCTTGGAGGTTAACCCAGGCGCGTAATATGAAACAGTTTCTAGGGATTCCATAGTAAGCACAGAATAACCCCGAGCTCCGAACACTCCGGTTTCCGGAGTGCATAAAAGGCAATGATAGCACCCGAGTACATACTCCGGTGCATTATATCCGATATCAAGTTGCTTATCTTATTCAAGCCTACGAATATCACAGCGATGTGCTCTCTGTATGTGATTGAGAGTCAAACCCCCGAAACGACTCCGTACAGAGAATCCTTAGCGCCTAAATAAGTCTAGACCAAACTAGTCAAATAGAAACCCCCCACACTCTCAAGGAAAAAAAACACGCCCTTTCTCATATAATAAATTACCCAAGTTGTATATGTTTCACGTAGCGCCGAGAACACACCATAGTCCAGAATCACCAAAGGATTCGACCTCCGATCTGAAACGAGTCTATTAGTCTCGATCGTTCTCTGTCAATTTTTCAACATCACACTATCTTATATTTGATTTTTCTTCTCTAAAATCAAGATTTCATTTGAAACAGTGGAGAAAAATGAGGTCATCCGCGGCTTCTGCCGTCTGATCGACTACGCTGAACTGCTTCGGGAGACCGGGTGAGTTTTCCTTGTATTTTATGTCCTATTAGCCCCCCGTTAGCTCTGCTTAGTGTTGTATTATGTGTTAAGTCAGACTAGAAGGGGGCTCGTATGGAGAGATGGTCTGGAACAGCGTTAGGATATTGCTTTCCCAAATCAGAGATCATCCCGTGCGGATCTGCAATCTTCTGACAACTTTTTTTTGTGCGACTGACTTGTTTATGTTAGGCCATGCCTTGATTAGCATTCTGTTTGTCTGCACATCATGAGGGATATAGTAGGCTAAGTAGGCTAAATTGATGGGTTCAGGGGTAGATCCCGGCGCGTATGTTTTTCTCCTTACTCCATACTCGATTTGTGTTTTGGTTTATCCTATCAATTTGATTTTAGCTGTGTCGTACAAGATATATTGCATTGAATACATACAATGTACGTTATATGATTGTAAATTCTACAGCTATCGGCTGGAAAGACCGAGAGATAGTCCGAACCCTGTACTCCGTACACGGAGGTATATAGCAAACGGGCTAAGACAGGATATGGATGTCACTATCGTCAAGGATCGTGCAGGTATGGACGCACGAGACAACCATAACCCCTGTCCGCCTCAGGTGAAGAAACGGGCCTACTCCGGAGGCGCTACACCAAAACATCCTGGTGATAACCCTGGGGATCCCTGAAGCTATCTGCAGATATGCCATAACAATATATATACCGAAGTACGCCGAATACCCCATAAACACATACAAAAAAAAAAGGGGAAAAGAAATTAAAGAGCAAGGGAACCGAAAGGAAAAAAAAAAAAAGCCTCACCCCCCTTCCCACTAATAAAAAAGAATTCCCCGCCAGCGTTAGGAACTACAGTAGCGTCCTAATGGAAATGTACCCCATAAACACACACGATCCATAAAAAACCAAAACAAAAGAGAAGAGTCACATCTATCCACTCCCTCGCTAAAGACCCATTCTAGACGCCTTCACTCCCACGCTAGGGAAGAAAGGGGAGACACCGTAAACCAGCTCGGCCACGGTAAGGGCGCACCGTGATCCCGTGCGCACCGATGTGGGGGTGTTTTTGATGCCGTCTCGGACATTGGGGAACGGGGAAAATATAGTGGATCTTTTTTTTTGTTCTTTTTCCTGCTTTGTTCTAGTCTTGTTCCCCGAGAGCGATGATATTGGGAGTTTGAGGGTAGTATTGGGGGTAGTATTGGGCGATTTGGAGGCTTTGCGTGCTTTGTGGATATTGGGAGTTTGGGGGTAGGCCTTGGATATATGCGTCGCTTGTACCTGTACCTGATCAATACGGGCCTACTATTCGCTTCGATGCGTATACGAGAAGTATAGTATGTATGGGCTCCGAGGGGCTAACTTGGTCTTTGCTAGGCGCGTGGATTTGCGATTTGCGATTTGCTTTTGTTGTGTGCTGTGAGTGATAGTTGCGGTCATTGGGTGTTGTTATCATGCCGAGGGTGGTCGACGTACTGTGTTGCGTGTTGTTCTTTTTTTTTTTGCTTTTTGGTGCATTGCATATTACAAGGTGAATGGTGTTTACCTATCTATCTGCAGGTGGGTGTATATTGACTCTTGTTTCTATTATGTATACGACTGCATATGCTATAACGTATGCCACTTGGCAGTTTTCTCTAACGGTCTGTGCTCCGAATGAATTTGTATTTTGGCAAGTCGGTATAATTTACAGTTTTTGCTGCCTTTTTTTTCTAAATATCTAAAATGAAAGACGTCTAAAATGAATATATAAGGCCGAGAAGACTACCCAAAGGATACGACAAGGCCGCATAAGCGGCCGACTATTCTTGCTAGTTGCATGAAAAAAAGATTGCCCGTTTCGCTATCTGACCGTCGAGATCGCAATACTAGTTGCCCTATATTAGCCCAGACCCTGAGCTAGAGCAATGGCATGGTTAATAAGAGTAATATGAAAAGTCTTTCGCCTCAACGCAATATAAACGTAATGAGTAATCTATTCGAGTAACATATATTCTAGCTGTTTTTACCATGCAATGTATACTTAAATGGCTTTGCCTTGTCAGACCTGTCAGATCGAAGTGATAGGTGAACCAAGCTTAACAGAGCCATATGTTCGAACAACCTTATCCTGGGAACAGCAAAGTCTATGACACTTATGTCTGAATCATGTATAAAGATACGGAGTCGCCGTCTACTAGTCTACTAGTCTAGTCTACTAGTCTATAGAGATACTACTCTACTCTTATCAAGTGGATCTCTATACCGGAGGTGCCTGAAGCCTCCGGCCAGATCTTCCAAATCTTGGCTCGGTTTGAGTCGGCTTATAACTTCGGCACTGAATATTTCCGTATTCCGGTCGGAAGAAATAGGACTTGTTCATCTCCATGTCAAGGCATATGATATTGTCTTGGCATGCATGGAAAGTGCGTACTACTATGTGGACAACCTGAATCATTGAGTGGCGATATTGTCCCCGGCCGGATCTACAGAGAAAACTCAGATTCCACGGGTGACTGGTGGAACTTTGAAGGGGGTTTCCTTTATGTGGCGATCGGAAAAGTGCTTCGATCGAGGGTTTCTAGAATTCTAGAAGGCCTGGGCACGGTGATACCGATTTGATTTTGCATATAGTTCTCTATAGTTATATATTGCACTAGCAGTGAAAATTCTGTCTACTCTACGGAGTAGTCCGTATATTTTATGTACCTGTAGTGTAAACTATAGTCTCTTCCAATGTTGCCCGAGTCATCACAGATGTCTTTCGCCTCCACCAAATCAAGATGTGTTTCTTTCATACGTTGTCCGATCCCTGTGAATCCCGGGTATTTTCCATTCCTAGTAATAGTAGAAAGATAGAAAGAACGACAAATGTGACATTCCGTTTGGAATGATCGACAGGGCCATAATTGGCGTCGAATACAAGCCCTAACTAGTGTGAGATTTAATATGTTTGTCCAAGGTTATCATATTATGATTATCATGGTTAATACCAACTAACAGGGGAATGGATTTAGATGACGTGCAAGACAAGTACGGGGGACCTTTGACGCAAGGGAGAGAATGCCGTGACACGGGCTTATCGTTGTATTTTATCTGTATCTGTATCGGTATCGATACAGATTCTGGTACAGCAGAACCGTGGGTCGAGGATTGACATTCCGGTCTCGGATGGCGTGCTAGCGGCCGGGAGATAAGAGGTTATCTTGAATTAAGAAGTAGATATAGTTAGATATCATATAGGATAGACATTGCATTTTGAAAGTAGAATACAGAATGTATACTTTGAATCATAAAATATAGTTGTTCCTCGTGTTCCATAGTGGAGTTCAGGGGAATGAAAATTCGAACTCGCCACGTTGGGCGCATTGGTCGTTTTTTCCAGAACCCGTGGAAGCTTACACGTATGACTTCTGGAAGGATTGTGGAGTGATCGGAAACAGGGTCAGTTTGGACTATTACTTACATAATACTTGGTATCCAGCATACAATACTTCTACCAAGGCTACATATATCTTTCTTTTATTTTAATCTCAAGAAGAACTTTGGAAAAAATGCATCCCTTGCAGATCTTTGGGCGCTTGTTCAAACGTGAGTTCAGTGTGTTGCCACAATAAGATGAAAGTCAAAGCCAATGAGAAAATAACAGTTGAAAAAAAAAGAAACAAATAATTCCCAAAGAAGAAATAGAAAAGAGAAAAAATAGAAAAAAAGGAAATACAAAAAACCAAAAAAGAAAAAAAGAAAAAAAAGAAAAGAAAAAAGAAAAAAACAATTATGACATCTTATCGAAAGGGGGATCCACTTGGGCGCAGAAACTAGTTTAGCGTCCCCACCTATGTCCTAGGACCACAACTTGAGAGTCTCCACTTGAAAGTCCCGTAACAATTACCCAAGGGTATCGTCATGAATTCTGATTCCAGAAATCCCTCTTTTGCCCTTTTTTTATTCATTTAGTTGCTTCCACCCGTTTTAACTCTTTTGAACTTCTTTTTATATTATAAACGTCCATCTCCAATTTTATACCCAACCCTCTTTAACTACATACCTTCCCTTGACCTGCCAAAACTACCCATGCCTGTATCCCGATAACCACGCTCTTTTAACCAAGCTGGAGCCTCGTCCTACACGCAGGGGACGGCCGGTGAGAAAAAAGCCGATTAAGGGTCCCCGACGCACACTATACGCTATGCTTAAAAAGAAGACGTTGGCTCCGTCTCTCTTCTTCCGGAATCATCCTCCTACCGCAACCCCCGAATTGTCCCCCACCTCCTCAGACAGCGACTCCGAAGAGGATATGGAATCAACTGGCTCCCGGCCCGCCAGTCTCACCATCTCGTCGGGGGCCTTCTCCATGCGGCCGACGCTCGATGAGGTGCTGGCCAACATCGCTCCACCTCCATACACCTTGAGCGCCTTCATGGCCTACCTCTCCCAGAACCACTGTCTCGAAACCTTGGAATTCACCATGGAGGCCAACCGATACCGGGATTCCTACTACGCCCTGACCGAACGACTCGGTCCCGCCGCGTTGGAATCGGAATGTGCCGAGACTCAGCACCTGCGAATGCTCTGGAAACGTCTATTGGCCGCCTACATCTTCCCGGGGTCGCCCCGCGAGATCAACCTGTCAAGCGAAGTCCGAGACGCACTGCTGAAGTACAAGAATGTCTCTGTGCCGCCCGTGCCAGAGACCTTAGATTCCGCCGTGAAGCGCATCCACGAATTGATGGAGGAATCCATCTTCCTCCCTTTCCTCAACAGCCACACCACCTCCCCTTCCATGAGTCCCTCCGACCCCTTCATGGGCCCCGACGACTTCATGAGTCTATCATCCACGAGCCTGGACGAGCACTCGATGAAAAGGGTGCGATCGCGCGTGTCCAAGCGCATCTCCCCGCAGTCGTCGCTCAAGGATCTTCCCGCAACCGGTCACAGCCGCTCAACCATGTCCCTCGGCGCTGTGCATGCCATCGGCAAACGCACTTCCGGCGGTCTGCTCAGCACCAGCGGCGAGTCGACTTACCTGTCTCTAACCGATGACTCTTCCTCTCCGCAGTCCAGCCCCACTGCTGAGGAGCCAATGACGCCGCCCACCACCCCACCTGCCGGCGAGCCGCATCTGCATATTCAAAGCCCCAAACTTCGCACCGAGAACCCTTGGAAGAAGATGGGTATGAAGCTTGGGTTTAAGAAGCGTTCCACTGGAGGCAGCAATGGTGGTCCTCGTGATCCTAAGATCCTTGGTCTTGACGACTAATTGTCTTTCTTTACTTTTTTTTCCTCCCTGACCGACTCTTGTCAACATATACAAAACCTACAAAACATCTGACTCACGACAACTACGACCCCCTCAACGACCACATCTCATCTCACACCTTGCATGAAATACCGAAATGCATCATCCCACGACTTCATTCTAGCCTTTGTCGAGCGTTTATATTGGCGGTGTATGAGAGCATGACGCATTGAAAGCATATGAAACCGGCGTTTTCCTTGTTTTATTTTTTTTTTCCATTGGATGTCTCCGGCTGAGCATCTTGTTTTTCTTCGAACTTCACCTGTTACTTTTTATCCTTTTATCCTGTTTTTTTGCGGATGGCATCACGGGAAGAAACCCAACATATATCATATCATGTTCTCATCTATAGATTGGATAGAAGACCCGTTCGGTTTTTCGGGTCTTCTGGACACGGCGTTTTTGATGAGACATTGTTTTGGTCTCTCCCCCAAAACCGGGATTTTTATTCGGAATCAATAGACTTGATACCCCCTCTTCACATCACTCCTATCCAGTCCGTAAACTGTACTTCGTATCTGTCTCTGGATCCATGCAAGCCAAGTCTGCACTATGCTTGACCGTTGCAATTCCAATCCCAACCATGACCAAGACAAATACTTACTCAATTCTCCACATGTCTCACCATGAAAGAATTAATCCAGCAGGCATCCGTGTTATCCTGTACTCCGAAACACCACCTTGTCTCGACCTGGTGACACGTCGGACACTCTCAGACATGTTCGGATGCCGGGGAGACATGCATACACTTCCAAGGGTTGTAGCATTGTAGTACAGATGCACACGTAACCCCTAAAGCCTTTGATTAACGTTAATGCGATGTCTGTTCGGCACTTGGATGCGTCGTGGTTCTTTTGATATGACTGTGACTTTGGACTTTGTTTATTACATCACTACATGAAGGAATAGTTGGGTGGATGGTTTAAGGTATACAAACCAAAAGCTTAAAAAGCCAAGAACAAGATGTAAATATGAATCTCAAATCCGCGGATATCAAAAGCAAATCAAAACCCAACATTAACATCAACCCTCCGTCCCCCCCTCGTCTCCAATGCCGCAATATCAACATCCCACCCAACACCACTCAACCCAACCAAATACCCTTCAAAGCGCCTATCGGCATTCAACAACCCAAGCGTCCCCTCGACAACAACAAGCACCGCCTCAGCAGAAGAACTCATTGACATCCTACCCAGAACCCGTGCAGCAAGTAGCGCATGAGCCCACGCCTTCAACTGGTGTCGAACAGTACACCCCCGTTTCAGCATGATCGAAGCATGCCATTCTGCATTTGTACTATCTCCTGTGCTCGGCACGAGGAAGAGGATATAGGATTCATTTGCGAAGACAGATGAAAGGCGCTGGAGGGGGAGGTGTTGTTGGGACGAGCGGGATAACGAGCCTAGGAAAGTTGACATAGAAGCCGATATCATGCTGCCAAATCGTGACCCGGAGCTAGGCTTGGTAGCAGGACCGGCTAGGAAAGTCGACATGGACACGCCTATCTGCGCAGATCCTAGATGGTGCGTTATTGCTGTATGCGCGTGCTGCGTCCACTGCAACGCTCCATCCCGATGGAAGATACGCTCGTGTTTAGCTACGTGAGCTGGCGTGAGGAATTTCCATTCTTTTCTAGATGTCGTTTTCGTAGGACTGAGACCGACGTCGAGATCGAGTGCTAGGGCTAGACTCCTGTCTGAGTCTAGGAGGGCTGAGAAGACGATGTTCGCGCGCTGCCGGTTTAGACTTGTCATTTGTACGGCGCGGACGGCGGCGTAGTTCATGCTTAGGTGGAGGGATAGGAGGAGGAGGAGGATTAGCCAGGTTGTTGTGAAGCTGGTTATGTGGGAGATTACTACCGATCCGACCTGGGTTGGGTTTGTTAGGGTTTATGTTTGTGGTTAGGAGGGGATTCTTGGGGGGTTTGGTTTGGTTTGGGGTTGGTTCTTGAGAGGATAGGATGGATGAGTGGATTGCTTACTAGCATGCCGAAAAGAGAAATAACAGTCTCCTGAGATGAGTCTTTCTATACAAGTTATATCATGTTAGCGCTGTCTATCATTTCCAACCAACGATACACCAGGGAATTCGAAACACATACGGCATTAAGCTCAGCCAGATTCCCCCATCTAGCAAAATGAGCACTCAAGCTCGCCTTCGAACTACCTCCAGCGACACCGCATAGAGCCCTGAGAACACCAGCTGTGCTGAGAACAATGACCCGCGCGGGACCAGCAGGAACGCCCGGCGAGAGACAGTCGAGGATCATGGCGATATCGTTGAAGACGTCTGCTGCCAGGCGGTAAGTTTTGCATTCTGGCTCGAGGGCTGTGCCGACACGGTGGGCGAAGCAGATCGTTGCCACGCGGCCTGATATATCCTGCAGGATATGTAGGAGTAGTGCTGAGGTTGGAGAGGCGTTCGCATTTCCGACGCCGACTCCTGTATGTTTTCGGTGTTAGTTGCCGTGTGGTTTGATTTGTATATAGGTTTATTGGGTGGGGTATGGACCTTGGAGCACGGCTCGGGAGGAGAGCAGGCCTGCTATTGAGCTGCAGAAGGCTTGAAGGGAGTCCTGTGGTTTGGGTTAGATTTGTGTTCTGGGTGTATTGGTATTGCTTTTTGGTATAGCAAGGTAGCTTGGCCATGGGGTTTCTGGCTCTGGCTGGGATTGATTGCTCACAAAGATTTGATATCTGGATTTTTCATTAGCATTTTTCGTAGATTGGTAATGTTTCATGTATTTAACAAGTTCCTGTCTGTACTCACGGTAAATAGTCATCGCTGACACTTTGGGGGTATCCGGAAGGAAGAAAAACATCGCTCAGCGAGCTGACTAGAAGCTTGCCTGACCATGATGAGGTAGATGAAGAAGAGCGCTGTATACTAGGTCAGCTAAGATCGAACACTTGAGGTATTGACATAGCGATGTAGTCTTTCCGAATCATGCAATGACATCCATATTTTGAACCAATCATAGATCGAGATTCAACGAGCACCATTCCTATGCTAAATGCAAGACAGAGTTCCAGGGACCAAATTCCTTATGAGGGGATTGGCAGGTGTTCCAGGACAAAAACTGGGATGCTCGCCAGTGGACAAGATGATAGTGGAACTGACTGCGTGCTTTCAAACATCCAGAGCTAGAATATGCAGGAGACTAAGAAATGACCACTTACTATTACATCTACTCGGCCAGCTGGTGTCTTTGAGGAAGAGTCTCCTGAGTAGACGTAGGTTGCGGTGGGATTTCCAGCCTCATCGGTCTCCTGGAAAGTCAACCAGTTTTCACTGTGAGAGGTCATGTTTAATACCTCGGAATGCGAAGTAAACAACCCCGTGGACGTTGCTCGGATCGAGGTACTAATCGGGAGGCACGTGCATGAGACCACATGTACCTTGACTTAATGCTAAGACTATAGCTCGGGGTAGCTCGGGGTAGCTCGTCTATATGTATATTCTAGAGCATTATGGAAAAGCTTAGTTTTGCTTTAAGAAATTCATTTCTTCGAATAGTGCTCACAGAGCCTATACTATGTAAGAATCACCAAGTGACCAATCTATGTATAAAACGAACACGACTCCGCTTGTTCGACGTCAAGACGATACAGCTGCATGTTGCGCGTGGAAATAGAACACCAAAAATCAACCACCAGCGCCGGGGAGTGAAAACACCGAAAGAGAAAGAGAATAAAAAAAGGGCGACAAAGAATCACCGCTAGAGAAAAACGTCCTTGCATGGCCTCCAACCATCACAAGGAACAAGGTATAAAGTGAGAATTTTTGGTCTCGGAAACTCTCGGAACGAGTGAGCAAGCATCAGATCTCCGTCTCCAGCGACCGAGGCATGAAATGCCACGATCGGCCAACGTCAACATCATGACCGCGCGTCACCAGCCGCAAACTCGAGACTCAAAGACTCAGGCCCGCTCATCATGCAGCTTCCATTGGAAGCATCATGCCACATCCATTTTGAAGAATTTTTTATATTTTGCCCGAGGGAACGCTTATGCGAACAAGCTCGCGCCGCCGGTCTCAATGGCCTCAATCTCGGCCTGAGTCCAAGCGAGACGGCCAAAGCGAGAGGGGAGCTCAGAGCGGTCGAAGAACTCGCCAGCCTGGGGCTTGACGGGGCCCAGCGCGGCGCCGGGTTGACCACCGATGGTGCTGTTGAAGGAGGAGCGACCGAGAGGGCCGTGCTGCTGAGCCTTAGCACGGTAGGTGGCGAAGGAGTCTGGGAGAGCGCCGGTGGGAGAGGCGGGGTGGACGCGAGGAGAGTGGTCGATGGACTCTGGAATATGAGGTTAGCTTGGATCGAGGGGGATAGCTCGGGGAATTGAGAATTTCACGTACTAGGGACGGAGCGCTTGCCAACGAAGCGAATGAGAGGAGTGCGCGCTGCGCTGCTGAGGACGGAGGTGACACGCATTGTGGTGGTTATGGATGTGTAGGTAGGAGGTTGGCAAGATCAATTTGACGCGGGAAATGTGCGAAATTGAACGGGTCCGGTAGTATCCGAATCCGACCGACGAGGTAGTTTCAACAAGAGAGTGAGTTATTGGTATTTTTTTAAAGGTAATGAAGGATATGAGTTGAGAGAAGGTGAAGATAATTAAAGAATTAGAGTAGAAAGAGGAGGGGGAAGTGGGAAAACACGAGAAGATAAGAAGGGCAAGAATTACCGCTTTGGGATAAGCCGATTCGGAACCGGCTAAGATATTTCAAAGCATTTGTGCACGGTATAATCAAGTACATGGACTAGTATACTAATTACTAGGTACAATGTAGTATAATGTACGGAGTGGTATGTAGAAATACATCTATACTCCGTACATATATGTCACGCCATATTCCCTAGTAACTGAACAATCTATACGGGGTACGGAGTACAAATAGTACGCTGCATCGGAATCTCATCCCGGTGCAGCTTCGTTCTACCTTGGCATCATATGAAGCCATATTTCTCTGATCTTTGCCCATTTAGTGCCTCCGGTGAGCTCCTAAGAGCTCCTCCCCATTTTCCGTTCCCTGTCGATGCCTAGTCGATGCCTAGTCGCTGCCTGACACCCTACTTTTCCCATTCTTTGAACCTCTAACCCGCCAATCATTTCTATCTTCCCCATGAACCATTCAAGCTTATTTGTCCCACACGCAGCTTAGACCTTCCCACCCCGCAATCAGAGGCAAAAGTCCAAACGTTTCAGGGATTGTGACTGGATGGTATCTCCCCAAGCCCCGAGATCATCCCTTCGGAATTGATATTCCTGAGTTTTCACAAGCACCGGAAAAGTCTCAACGTTGGAAGATCAGTACTGCCAAGAAAAAAAAAACATCAAAGCAAACAGAACAAACAACCCAACAGGAGCATTAAACGCTATTAGCAATAACAGCGACACATAAAAATAATCTGATCTCTGATAACATTACGCCACTGAAGCTTGGACCCTGACTAACACATCCCGGCTTCACCCGTTACCTTCACAATATCAGACAATATGCACGAGCAGTCGCTTTTCGCCTCGGTTCCAGTCCACCAACACCATGAGCTTCTTCAGCAGCTGGCTGGATTGACAGCCATGCAGCCCCGCCATTGCCTAGAGCGGCGGTTGATCTTCAAGGCCTACCGCAAACCCGGGCTGGCGGGGCGCGTCGGAGCCACTCAGGACCTCCAACAAGCGGACCTGCAGCGGCTGAACAAGATGCTCAACGGGAACATGTACTACACCCAGGTAGTTGGCCCGGTCTCCGAGCGGGATTTCGGATCCACTGCTCCTGTCGACCGAGACATCCAGATGGCCGGCGTGGATGACTCGAAGCCTTCTGGAACTTCATCTCCGTCTTACGACTATGAACGTCAGCAATGGAAGTTGGAGTTCCGTGATATCCCGGAAGCTGGTACCCGCTCGGCGGTTACGTCGCGGCTGATGTCGAGTGCGACCTTGCCGCGGGGTGATGTCGTACAAGCTATGAATGCGTGGGGCTACCAGTAAGTGGCGTGATTTGAGTCGATCTTATGATCGCGGGAACTAACCCTGTCGGTTCTAGTTTCACTACGGAGTATTTGGTCGAGGGCGATATGTTCGTTCTCAATGACATTGCTATCTTCTTGCATCGCGTGCTGCATTACCCGGGCGGGGATGAGTTGAACACGCCTCGACGACAGCTGCCTGCATTGAAGGATATGGTTCTGTTTGAGAAGAGCGGGAGCTATGTTCTGCAGGCTTTCATTATTGTTCAGGATGGGAGCAACCAGGAGACGATGAAGACTGCCTCGCAGCATCTATTTGGGTTGCGGGAGCAGCTGAAGTCGGCTGTTCTTCTGGAGCAGGCGGATCGACTGTCTCTTGATACGCGGGCGAAGTAGACGGCCACTTTTACTTCGGTTTGTCTGAGCATGCTGGAGACTACGAGATACCCGGTCTCCAGCGGAATGGCGTTGATAGAGATCTCGAGCTTGTTTTATTGAAAGAGATATACCCATCATAGCAATGAAGTCCAATCTTTTAATTTCCCTTAGAAAAATGACCACGGTACATACAAGTGATAGGCGAGGTCTAAAGAGACGAGGTGAAGGTTGAGGGCAGGAGAAGAATACTAGGAAGATTGAGGAAAACTCCAAGGTTGAGGGAGACTCCAAGGGTAAGGGAGGGCGACCTAAGATGGAGAGAGTGTTATGGAATATGCCAGTTGTGGTCAAGATGATCATATTCCTATACTAGTGCTACGAAGGTATCCATCCTCCTGCTTGAGTGATACCTTAATACGGCCTAGGCCGTTACAAGTGCCCCCTCCAAGAGGCTGCTACCGTCCTCGGTAACATCAATATGCAATCCCATAAGAAAAACTCCCTAGAACCCCGGCATGAATTGGCCATGCAGGGGTGTCTGCGGCGGCGGACGCATCTGGTTCGCAATTGCCTCGATTTCCGGCTTCATATCATCATCATCATCATCATCATCATCATCATCATCATCATCATCATCATCATCATCATCATCATCATCATCATCATCATCATCATTATTCATTGTCTCGATAGATCTGTCCACGAGCAGGCCCTCAGCGAGCGCGGCTGCGTCACGGATAGCGTTGAGAGACGTTCCGAGTCCGTATGAAGATAATGCAAGTGATGATCAGTACGTTTCCCTCCACCGCTGGTAGCCCAGGGGCGTAAGAGACACCGGAAATTTCGATAACCGGTTGGTAAGCCTAACCAGAAGGACCTCTGGCTTATTCGGACATGCTACCAGTGTGTCATGGAATATGCCTGGTAAAGATGATCATATTCCTATGATCTCGACCTCGGGAGGTCCCGAGGTCCTCCCTCCTGTTTGAGTAATACCTTAATCATACGGCCTAGGCCGTTACAGGGAGGGGGAGTCGAAGAGTGAGGGAGGGAGAGTCCAAGATTAAGGGAGACTCTAAGAGTGAGACTACAAGAGTGAGGGAGGGAGACTCCAGGGAGGGCGACTCGAATACTCAGTCGAGGGGAACAAGTGAGAGAGATAACTGAAAGTTGAGAGTAGAAAACGCTGATATCAAAATGACAAGTGAGAGATAACTGAGTCACCAGACCAAGAAAGATAGTATAAGTAGAGCATCAATACATATATTTTTCGTCCAGATAGGACGTGACTGAGCGGGAAAATCCCCCAGCTCCGTCCTATCTAGACGCCAGAAGAAGCCCGAAAATGGGCTTCAAAAAAAACTCCCCTATGTTGCCTCGTTTGGGTCCGCGACCCAATATATTGGGTTGCGCGTGCGTTTCGCGCCTCGAACTTCCTTTCTTCTGACAGGCGCAATAGACCAATTGTTGCCTCCTCGAGGAGGCCGTCCCCTCTTCCTCACCATTTTTTTTTTCTTTCCTTCTCTTACTTTGACTATCATGAAATTTATGGTTCTGGTCATATTCAATCATTCATATCTGTTTGGTATAATATCTTCTTATACGGAGTGTGCTCCCAAGCAGTTTGCAGGGTTTGTATACTGCTTGGTGCCTGAGGCCATGTCCTTGGCTTCGCCAAGGAAGCGGACTCGACAGGGGGATTACTAAAGGTAGGGCTTAGTAATCCTATAAAGAGCCAGGGCTATCCACGGGTTAATATTGGCTTATATAATTAGATAAGATATATTCGCTATGTATCTAGTACTATCCAATAGAAACTATACGATCCTTACAGAATCTTACTGGGCCCGTTACAGTGGCTATATAAATTTTGATTCTGTGGTTGAACCTACAGACAGAAGTGTATAGGATAAATAAACTCTGGACCGTATCCACTACCAGATCGAGTAGAGGGTTTAATTGAACAATCGAGTTATGATCAAGGATATAAGACAGGGCCTGACTCAACTGTCTAGATCCTTCTGGGAACAGATAAAAGAGGATACTAGTAATATTCTATGACGGAAGATAGCCCGTGGGCCGATAGGTGAGACTAGATGATACTGATATAGTTCTGTGAATTCCCAACGGGATATTGATAAATACTTTGAAGGTACTAGTGTCGATTGGACAATGGCAGAGAAACAGCTACTAACGTGGGCCTATCTATTTCGTTGTGGTAAGAAGATTCGGCTTTAGATATCAATCCACTATATAAAGGATGGTGGGCCTCTCCCTTCTAGAACCGATAAGAGAGGAAAGTCATCAGTCACTACCCGGAAACTTACTGAAAGAGACGCTTAGATAGATACTGAGCAGGCCTCCGGCCAACAATCAGTATAGCGGAATGTCTATCATGTTGTGCGATGTCTCGGGCCTCCACGTTGCCATAAAGGACAATATTGCTGGCAAGATCAGGAGGAGAATAAGGCACGACATGTTGAGGACGTTTTATTTAAAGGCCCTCGTCTAATACGTGGAGCAAGGAGGAGTCCTCGAGACCCATAATGAAGTCCCTGACAGTGTTTGCGAGCAGCTCTATGCTGAGGAGAACCAGCGACTTGACAAGAGGAAGAAAAATATACAGACTGGCAGCGAGCACGGGTGAGCAACGAGGCTTTCAGGGACAATATTATCAAAGCACGCGATGTGACACTTGAAAATTGCCTTGGTCTTACGCAGGTTCATAAGGATCAGGATCCAGGTTTCTTCGTTAAGCATGGTGTGGAAGTAGGTGCGGCCCGACGGTTTGGACGCGATATTGGCCTTTGGGTGAAGCAACGGGGAGAAGGCACTGGATCTAGACATAATAGAAATAGCTAACGAATAGGAAACCGCCCATACCGGCATACTGATTTCATCTCTATATATTCAAAACCACCGTGTAATATCATTGATCATGGTGACCGCTTTCTGTATTCGACAGTGGAGAGCCTACACGTGACCTATAAGGTCGGGGACTCGGCGGTGACTAGGATTATCTGCTGCCTGACATGCAACACAAGACGAAGTACTTTTCCAACAGCATTCAACGACCATATGAACCCGTAATGGCTTTCCTCAAGTTCAGACTGGAAAATACTAGAGAACGCTCCGCCCCAGTCCCAATAGCTGCTGCTGTGTCCCAACCGTCTTTAAGGCGGCAAAACGGCGATGTGCAGCACGATTCACCTAGGAGATTACGCGACCAAGCATCTTCTGATGAGAGAATACCTATTACGCCTTCAGCAAGTCGTGCAGGGAAAATTTGCGAACATGATCTGGGCGTTCCTGGACTTGATCTTACGGCTCGTTGTAGCAGAAGGTTGGGAATCCATCAGCCAGATGAGATCACGAACTCAAAGCACGTCGGACCTAAAAACAGACAATGGCGCCAATTAAGGCGCGGATCCGCCTGCATTGAGTGCAAAATCTCCAAAACTCGGTGCGAAAAGTCTCCTACTACAGCCAAGGATAAATGCCGCCGGTGCCTGCGGCAGAATAAGGAGTGTATTAGGTATTCTTCAGCCCGACCGTCCCCTGTCGAGCATTCGGGGAAAGGCTCTGACGGCCCGTCTAAAGATGGGGCTATTGGCATTGATTTCAACTCGGAGACGGACCCATCTACGGCCTTTTCGATGGGATTCACCGAAACCAATCTACGTGAGTCTGTAAAGCTTGTCGTCCTTTTGTCCTGAAAACACAGCTGATTGATTGTGACAGCTTCTAGTCCATCATCTCGCACTTCGACCAAGCAGCTTGAAAATAAGAGTGACTCTATTCTTACTCCCGAGATAGCTGAACAAGTATTTCTTCAGTATATAACCAAATTCGCTCCGAAATACCCCATTGTCGTGTTTCCGCCCGGGACAACGCCTGTGGATGTGCGAAATTCCAAGCCTTTGCTATTTTTATCCATACTTAGCGTTGCCTGTGCTGGATACTGCCCGCTTACTAAACAGAGAGAATTGGCACTCGAGGTCAGAGGTTGTTTAGCAGACACTGCTATTGTTCGAGGTGAGAAATCGCTCGAACTTGTTCAAGCGCTCCAGGTCGTGTCGTTCTGGTATAGAGCACCTGATACCTACACACAAATGATTCAGAATCAGCTGGCTTCCATCTCCACAACTATGGCTATGGATCTTGGACTGGACAATCTCAAACTGGCTAGCAGAGCTCAAGACAAATGGAGTCGTGCGGAGGCGCAACGAGCCTGGCTTAGCTGCTTTCTTCTATCCGCAAGGTACGTAATTATGGCTTCACAGCTTCAGCCAGTACTTGGTTTGACCGACTCCTAGTCTTTCTTTGATTTTGAGACGTCCCAATCCCACCCCCTGTTTCGCAAAGCTCGACGACTACATTTTCGACTTGCAACAAAACAATGCATCGCCTACGGATGCCTTCCTTTGCAAGCTTGTAACCACGGAGCTTCTTTGTCATATTATAGATCAAGAGCTATGCTTGAGCAATCCTGTCCAAGCGGTATCTGCGCCAAGTCTGAAGTCAATGGCGATAATTCAAACCATTCAGACCCGAATCGACTGGCTAGCTCTTGGCCAGTTTCATCCGTTGGAAAGATGTACGTTTTTTTTTTTGGAAACCGAACACCTGATGACCTTAGGTAAAGAGGGTTGACAAACTTCTATGAATTAGCTCTTTTTGAATTCGGCCGGCTTGCCAGCTCACTGTATATGCATGAGCTGGCTTTACACGTCAACAACAACATCGACGAGTTCAAGGCCCCCTTTTCTGCGAAGTCTTTGAAGACATGTAGCTTCGTTGATATGCAAGATTCTTCTAATCTGTCAATGATCCGCGCCATAATAATGGCGTCACAAGGACTGCTGGATATTTTCCTTGGGTTCTCCATTTCCGAAATGCTTACTTTACCACCTCATATTTATGGTGGTCGCGTGATATACGCAGTCATACTACTGATGAAGATACACAAAGCAATCACGACATTCGAAAAAGGAGTAAGTGACTTCATTTATGCTGACAATTTGCGCCTGGAAGTGTACCTTGAGCAGCTGCTCATCACTTCAAAGCGCCTCATAACGGAGGATGGACGCAGCGCTTTGAGTAGAGCATTCCTGATCATGCCTCAACTGGTAGAGCTGTTCAAAAGGCCATCTAAAGCAGATGAAGATCCAACAATGGGCAGTATTCCAACCAAGACTGGTAACGGGCAATTGGACACTGCTTCTCCGATATCAACGGTGGCTCCCAGCGACTCCTCTACTGCTATTCAGGCGCTAGAAAATAAGTCAACCCCAGGCAATTCTAGACCGCTTGATAGACCTGTGCGCCAATTGGATGAGCTTATCCAACCTGCTATTCCTCCGTTCCATCCTGTTACGCACAGTGAGGATACTAGCTTTGGAATATCTGGACCTACAGTGGCATCTGATACTTGGTTCTGGGAATTCTTCAACATTGACATGCTTAATTAGTTCATCGCCGGTCGGGGTGTGATAGACTACTATTTTCGGGCGTGGTACTGCTGAGAGCAGAGATGTTCTTAAATCCCTCCTCCAATCTATTGATATTGTTCTCCACGCTGGCTCTATTGCCTTCAATTCCCGACAGCCCGACAGCTCAAAATTATCCCTTTCATAAACTCTCATGACCACTCATTTCGCGTACATTTAATCGACTTGTTCCGACTCCATTCCCTCGGGGGAGCTTTTCACGGTGCGCCACTCCACACCCAAGGCGCCAATGATGGATACACAGGCTAAGACCAAGGCAACCACAAATGTTTGGACGATGGCATCGTTGTAGATCTCCAATACACAGGCTACCACATTGGCCTGGCCCGAAGTGGCTTGCCTAACAGTTTGCTGTAGATCAGTTGCTCCGGATTCAAGAACAATAGAAGGGTCCAATTCAGGAACTCGGGCAAGCATGCCAGAGACAATGTGATTGCTGAAAATATTCTGGCCCACAGAGACGAAGATAGCGCCCCCAAGAGATCGAGCAAAGACCACCAAAGATGTCCCGATGGAGACGTCCTCTTCGGGAAGGACTGTCTGAACAGCAATATTCGGTAGTTCGAGTCCAATACCAGCACCCGCACCAAAGACGATTTGAAATCCAAGCCTAGTATGGGTTAGCGAGTATGAGTTAGCGAAGGAGCGCTGGATGGTATGCTTTGGCAGTTACGTACCACATCGACAGGGGAATATCCACTCTGAATAGCAGAAGTAGGCCCGCACCAATCGCCATTACCATCGACCCTACAATCATAAATGGGGTATAGTATCCCACGACAGTGACGCTTAGTCCACTTGCAATGGCAAATACCACTATATTCCTTGTCAGTCGCTCTAGTCTTCCGGTTGATGCTGCATTCCACCATGATTGAGTGAGGGGGGTCGGAAAGGGGGTGTACCTACCAACGCTCAACACCGTTGGCAAGTTATGAATGCCCGATTGGTCTGCAGAATCGTCTTTTATGGCCTGAAACCTGTTTCATCCTCATGATTAATAGAAGTTTACACCAGAATGAGCGAGGATATTTCTGAGCTCACCAGATCGGCAAATAATAAATTAGCAAAACGAATGACGCACTCGCAAGGAAGATATAAAAGATCGAAAATGCAACCGTTCGCTGCCGCAGAATACGAAGCGGCACCGTAGCATTTTCACCGCCTCGCCATTGCGCTACTGCCCAGGCGATAATGAGTACACCGAATACCGTTAACAATGCGATCTCGCGGCCATCGCTCCAAGGTTCTTGGCTCCCTCCCCACTGAAGTGCGATTAACAGACAAATGATGCCTGCAACGAAGAAGATTGTTCCAACAGGATCAAACTGACCTAACACCACAGACCAGCTTTCCTGCTTCAACTGCTTTTCTGGTCGCTGCGAAGGCAAGCAAAAAAGTATGAAGGGAATGGCTATGGCGCCTATTGGCAAATTAACTGGGGTTAAGTTAGCTTTTGCCGCGCCAATTACATCAAGAGGTAAGGGTATCATACTGTAGAAGCACCAACGCCACGAGACATGAGCTAGAACGATCTCTGACGTTAGCACCAAATTTGATACGGAGTAAATTTGAAAGAAAAAAGAACTGACTTGTGAAAGCACCCCCTAGAAGGGGACCTACCACGCTCGCTATGCCCCATACAGCGCCAATGATTCCTGTAAATGCAGGCCTCTTCGCTAGGGGGACCGACTTGGCAATGATGATTAATGCGCCGGAGAAGATGCCCGCGCCTCCAATTCCGGCAATGGCTCGTCCGATTATGAGGGCGACGGAGTTGGGACTCGCGCCACAGATGGCAGAGCCGGCTTCGAAGATCAAGACGGCACCAACAAAAGTCCATTTTAGGGATAGCAAGGTATAGAGCTTCCCGAAAAGAAGTTGGAAGCTGCAGGTCGTGAGGAGAAATGCACTGCCGTACCATCCAATATCTTCGACGCTGTGAAATTGGGACGTGATGGTCGGGATGGCGGTAGCAATGACAGTTTGATCCTTTTAATGCATTCGTATTAGCTATCCTGTATAGCCTTCTCAAAGAGTTACAGAGGTGAAGTAAGTATGCAGAACAAACCAGAGCGACCAAGAAAACAGTCAAGCAGAGAGCCACAAAGATAAAGGTTAATTTGATGTCAGAGGGGTATTTCGGGGTCCCTGGACCGGACGTTTCTCTCATTCGTTCAACGTTCTTGTCGGAAGTGAGTTGTTGGCTGTCCTCTTGAGACCTCTTCACTCCTGGCCCTTCAAACGCATCATCATGTCCGCGCACCATATCGCAGCGGTGGCTTTTCAAATACGTAAAGAGAGGGAAAAGAATATAACTGGTAAAGAATGAAGTGAATG